AGGCAAAATTTACGAGGAGAATTAAGCTCACTTGTATTCTCTTTGTTTAAAATAAAGTTTCACTCAATAAAGATTACACGAGCACAAGTTCGCTTTCTCAAAGTCCATTCATTAAAAAATTGGCCTGATCACACAAACATAGCAATAACATTGAGGAATTTATTCTTTAGTACAAAGTATCAAAAACGATGCCGTTCAGGCAGAATGCGCCTCTCCCGAGTAACAATAGAAAAGCACCCCAAATAAATGAAATAAAAACAAAACAAAGCAGGAAAACTATTAAAACACAAATGTTTCTTGCATATAAGTTACGCTTAAATACATAAAAGTCACGATGCAAGAGATGGTGGACGTTTTTGACAGAGCGCCGAATCTGTGAAGAAGTGCACTTTTGAGGGATTAAAAGGCCGAGAAGAACAGTAAAATAAGAGAAACGATACTAAATATTAAATTAAAATTTAATATACGCAAGTTAAAATAAAAGGGTAGGATAAAATCATTAAAGTATTTTTGAAAGTAATAATCCTATCAATACAGGCAATTCTGTCTTCAAAACGTTCAAAAGTCCTAGACGAAGACACGCAATCTCGAAGCATTCAGTACGTGCGAGATAGCAAATTTATTTAATACAAGATAGGTTTCAGGAAATTCGGTAATGAGTTTGCTTTCCCGGGTGTTAAAGGCGGAGATCCAAATGAGTAGCCAATAATCAATAATAGATTAAAAATTGGTGAAGTTTATTATGGTGAGGCTGCGTATAATTGTAAAAGTTTGTTCTGAATAACGGAGTTGTGAAATGTCTAAGTAAATTACGTAAGTATGTAAGGTACCGTACTGTACTTGTAGAGCAATTGTCATAAGACCGCTGCCGTAGTTTAGAATCTATATTAAGTTCTAAACTATGATCACACATTAATGGTGTGAAAATCGAACATCTCTTTATATATGAAACCGAACTTTGAAAAGGCAATAAAAATTGCTAATCTACCAGAAACTTTTGTTATACCTTGTATTTGCGATACATAAAACATATCATTAACAACGAAGATACATAAGTATATATAGATTTTCTGCGTGATAATTGAGTATCGGCCTACATTTATGGGATATATTTATGTATTTCTGTACAGTTAACTATAGTATATTAGCGGCTGTGTACATGAACTCAAGGGAATAAGATACAGCAAATTTTTATTTGATATATTATACACATCGTTACACTTCGTACAATGCATCATAAATCTCCCCGCACGAATGTTACGATGTGGTTCTTTTTCCATTTTTTACCCGTTTTTTGAACTAGTAGACAAATCCTGTCTTGGCAATAAACAAACTACTAACACCGAAACACCATCAAACTCGTAACTTCCAGGAAGTGCAAGCAACCGATTTTTTTAATATCCTGTAATTATTCTGCGGGCATTAAACATGCGAAAAAATGTCAAAATTTATCATGAACGAGGAACTAACTACTCAAAATTCGATTTAAGCAAACATGTAATAATTAAACTTATAGATTACTTACTCGCTACCCTATATAAGATCATCACGTGCATCCTGTTAGCATTTTGTAAAAGAATTATGCCATGTATAAAAGATTCTTAACAATTTTCATATAGAACACGAAGATTACTTTATAAACAAGTGGATTTCTTAGTAAAAGACTTGTAACGCATTGTTACTTATACAATTTTGAAATAACGAAAAGCAGAAATATCATAAAAATAAGCAACTAAACGCGTGTGGCATCATTAATAAAATGAATACATTTATAAAAATAAAAACGTAACGCTGTTGTTACGCTGACAATTTAATAAGTCGGACGTTCAACCTTACAAGAGAAGCGCAATTATTCTTCCTACGCTCGTCATCCTTTGAAATCCTGTCGTTAATAACTTTATTTTTAATGTGTAGGAAGTGACGGCAAATAATTGCACCTTCAAAAGTACAAAAATAAGCAACTTCTTGACTAAATTGCCGGTTTTTTGGATCATCGTCTTCGTAAATAACTGGAGAAAAAAATGCGTAATGATGCGAAAAGTGCTTTGAATATGTTGATGGTGTCCTTCGTCAAGTATTTGCTTTTGTATATTTAAATACGCTTTATACCAGTATAGATGGGTATTTGTACGTTTATCTGTAGATATACACGTTATAATTCATATAGTTCAATATAACGTTTATACGGATCGTGTTTTAAAAATGGTTGAGTGCTTCTCTCTGTTAAAATATTCTTTCTCGAATGCTTATCTTGCTGGATAACACGTTGCTTGATATATATGTTTATTGTTTCCGTAATAATTAAATGCGTGCATGTACAGCACAGTAGCTAATTACGTTCTTTTGAGGCCCCGGGCACCCTTTTTTTAATTAAAAAACCAATAAACTCCTTAAATAATAACAAGTTTTTGTAATATACACTTTTTAAACGTTCAGTAAATTTTGAAGGATATTATCTTTTTGCTATGTAATTTTTGAGACGACGAGGCCTATTTGGTAATCCGCCACTGTGCGTGTGTGACATAACGTACAAATTTCTGACTGAGTTTACAGTATTTCACGTGATCACGTGAATTGAGCTTATGGTTTCATTTCTCATAATAGATCGCTATTACCTCATTCGTAACATTTTAACACGAGGTAACTTTCACATAACACTATGAAGGTTACGTTATCCTTGGCCTCTCTCGGCAGGCGAATTGTATACTGTTGTTACACCACCGGATAAACTGCATAACCCACTATTCACCGTATTAATTCGAGAGTGTGCGACAGGTACACACGTTCCACATTTAAGAAAATACGGTTTGCATTGTTATTCTAACCCAAATTTTAAATTCCTTTTAGTTCCCAACATTAAAATTGGGCTTTAAAGTATCTTTAGTTCGAAATATAAATCTGATCTGGTTTTGTTCCACTGAAAAGTTTCGTGTTTCATATCGCTATTCGAGTTGAGATGTACACTTGAAGGCCCTACGTAAAATAAGTGAGCACTTTTAAAGAACGAATTTCATAAAATCTTTGCACACGAAACAACGACAAGTAAATTGGCAGGAATATGAAAGAACTAAAGAAAAGAAGAAAGGTGCATCATAATTATTGATATTAAAATGTCATTTTTGAATGTTTGATTGGATGAATCGGAATTTGTAACAGTGCCTCGAGCTTCTCAAAGAGTTAGTCAAGAATTAAAGCGTTTAACCTCGCATCCTCTTCACGCAGTGGGAGATGGCCCCACTTCATTGGAACACTTAATGAGTTCCAAATTAATATTTTGGTCAAAAAACCGGATTTCCAATGGAATTCGGTCCGGGTTACGGTGCTTTTGAAAGTTGCAGTTTATCATAAATTACTTGTTCCGGAGGATGGATTTTCGACCTCTTTCCTCTTAAAAATCTCCCAATTTACCTATTAGTAGCATCGCTCTGTAGAAAGTAAAAAAGACAAGGGGATATACGACAATGGGATAATAATTCTTTTTTATACAGAAATTGTATTTAGTGCTTAACAACGTCGCATTTCGTGTAACTAACAAAAGCAGAAGTGAGGTCATTACAACTACACGCGGACCACACCCTTGGATTACGTATTGTTCGATATGCGATTCAAATTGTGTAATAAACGTCCGTGTAACTACAGAAAAATTACAAAACAATTTCTCTTTTGTAAAGAAGAGGAAAGCCGTGTTTCTAGTTTAAAAGATTTACATTTTCCCATAGAATATTCTTGCCGTTCTATAAGTAGAAATCTTATGTTTAATTGCAGAAGCAACACGTATGTCCTGGTATAAAATTGCGTTTTTAGCTATATTTTTAGCGATACAATGCAAAATAAATCTAAAATTTTAGTAAAGGGCTCCAAAACTTGTGTTGAAGTATGCTTTTCGTGAAGACAAATCAGACATCCCGTTGAAGACTTTTAACAGGATCTTTCAATCACATTTTCACAATTTTATTTCAAGACATTACAGCCATTATTGAGAAATTATAGGTTTTATATGGCTATAAACTTTTGCTAACTGCACTTTATTCCAGGACGAAGCATCCAATACGATGGGTGTTGAAATTCAATTAAAATTCCAAAAAAGGAAAAAAAATGGCATCGTTGTCACGCTATTACGTCCGGTTACTTCGATTGTTTAACGAGGAAAAGTTGGTCAAAAGGCCAAATTACCAAGGTCCTTCTCATAACCTGTGGCCCACTTTCACACGTAAGTAAAGAAAGTGCAGGTAGGTGGAGTCTCTAATCGTTATCGTTTGTAATGGTCACGATTTGGCACACTGCCTTGTGCCACGTTTGTTTAACATCCAATTCATCTGTCATTTTCTCCGGATAACCGCGATAATCAATGTCATATGGATTTCAAATTAATTATCCCCAAAAATTTCCCATTCATATTGTGTTTAAACGGGAAAATCCCCGACCCGACTTTCGTAATTGCATAATTGGTTTATAGAAAAATCCCTAGAACCCCTCGATTAGATTCCAGCAGATTTTTTAATGCTGCCAGCAAAGTAATTAAGTTAGTACTCCCTATTACGTGTCAATACTCCTTTCATTCTATCAAAAGCATCGATGTCAACACCTCCTTCATGCTATTAGCGAAGTGGTAGCAAGCACCCCGAATTGAACCTCAATGAGGTGAGGGGCCGTCCGGGTATGAATTTTGATGAACTTAAATCTCGTAACTTATTCTCAACAGGAACACACGTGTATTTTTTTCTAAACTGAGGAGTGAAATAGGTCAAATCTGGAGCCAACAATGTTGAATGGAACAGAGAACAGAGACGAATTGACTACCGATAAACACTAATTGTTCGCTCGGCGTGTCGGAGCAACTAGTCATTTTTGACCCTGAAAGTCCGCGAAGTTTCCTTCGTAACCGGGTCACCGGTCCGTCCACACTAGGTGCACGTGACTACTAACGTCCAAAGAGAAAGAGGCAAGCGACGGTCGTTGCTCCAAAGAGGAGGTAAAGCAGCGCATTACGGAAGAAGCGCTCAGAAGGCCGAACGAATTGGAAATGATACATCGCACCTTTCTGTTGCTCGTCTTCTGTATCTTAGGTAAGATCACCATTTTGCACTTAAGTTCTCCTCCATTAACCACTTACTTAATGGTAAACTAGTAAAATAATTCATTGTTTATGGAGTTATTTCGATTTGAAATATATTTTGATGCGCAAAAATTAAAATAAGACAATCCTTTCCTTTAATTTTATCTAGAATTTTATAATTTGCAATAATTCAAAATGACGCTAATTAAATTGTTACACATATTTAAATATTAAAGATTATTTCACTAATAGTTTATTAAAATATTTCTAAATTTAATATAAATATTTTATGATTAAAATGATTATTATTCAAGACCGCTTCTCGGTTGTTTAGATTCATAGAAAATGTGGACGTTAAGTCATTTAATAGTCATGAAATAATAAAAATTAGCGTTTGAATTTTATTATTTAATCGAATTTTAAATGTTGTGTGCATAAAATGCGTTGCAATTTTTCCTCATAACTAAAAAACTTACACGCTTTATAATCAGGTGGAAAATTTGTATTTGTATATGAGTGACTGTCGAGTTGAAAATTCCACTGGAAGACTCTTTAAGAGGGGCAAAATGCGAATTGCGTGAGGCAAAAGGACATATATTTTACGTGGGGATCATACTAAGCAGTTATTACAGCTCATTTAAATGCAATTTTCATACTAAACTTGACTAAAAGAGAGGTAGAGGAAAGCTTTAAGAAGTAGTTATCATTACTCTAAGAGAATTCCGCAAAACTTCTCTAATATCGAGTTAACAAAGCCGGAGGGAGAGTCGAAAAGTCAGGTAATGTTCAAGTAAAAAATAAGAAAAATGTTCAAGTAAATAGTAGGAAGCACGAGTCATCGGTCATGCGTTAAAAAGTATTTTGTACTCTTTTCTTAAACGGATACTTTCAAAACACGCGGCTCTAAGAACCATTGTTGCTGTAATAAATGGATAGATTAACAGTAAATGGACCAAATTCTCTGGCAGACTATAAATTAGGTTAAAGGTAATATTTATTATCCACTCAAATATTAACTAACGTGGCCCCTTTACGTCATTCTAGGGCTACGCCGTTAACGAAGGTAACTCGGTCCCTAACGCCATTACAACAGAATAGTGGCGAGAAATTCGTGTAAAATTTAAGAAAAGAAAGATAAATGGGTACATTTATTTCAAAAAAACGTCATTACGCAAACGTAACAGAACACAATCTCTGTATAGTTTCTAACTGGTTACTTAATTAATTGCCAAGTTAAATTTAACAAAGAAGAAAAATCTTTAATTGCAGGGTTAAATCAGATAAGAAAATGTTTAAGTTAAATAACCTGTTGTATTTAAACAATTCGTTAATGTTCCAGTCGAACGTGTAACGACGTCGTTTCCTTTTCTATACCAGCCACTTTTTTCCTGTAACACTTAATCGTCTTACTATCTTTCTCTCAGGCAACATTCCACTATGGTTTTCTACATGGAAACTTATAGCTCTACATCATGAATATTATTGAGACTTGGTCCGTTTGTATCATACTTACGCGTACTCGAAGACCCTTTCGTAGCTGCACAGTTCTAACATTCCATCAAGCAATTTCTATTGTACCAGTTCGGTATGTCTCATTACTTAAAATTCCACTCTCTCCAGTCTGTTTAAGTATGAAGAACAAGGATTATTATCGGATCAATTATGTATCAACGCTGACAATCATCAATAACTACTGTTAAAGATACGATCTGCTTGCATTTTCACCCCAATTTTTACTCTCAATTTGTTGCGAGTCTCTTTAAATTTCATTGTAACGATGGGAAACCGCAAATTCTACTCCAACAAGATTAAGGAAGATTTTTTTGTCTGCATAATTTCTAATAAGGTGCCTTTTTTTATCGCGAAACTGTCCTATATTTTTTTTCGATCACGCGCTAGTGAACTTATAGCCTGAGGGGTGAACAGTAAGTAAACAAACGACTACAACTGACTTGTGAATAATTGAACTGTGGATATCGTCTGTAAACGTTTCCGTAGGAACTGTATATTGTATATGCCAGAGATTTCCAAAGAGGGCTCTGGAAGGAAAAGCTGATAGTTCAAAGGGGAGAGAAATTAATTTTGAAACAAAGAAACGTGCGTAAGAAATATACATATTAAAATGGAGTAATAGTCTGAAAAGTTTGATAAACACCGGCATACGTTACTACAATAACAACGCATAGAGAAGTAACCGAAGATGTCACCGATGCAGTATAGGCTATATCCGGTTTATACATATATATTTATATACACTGTACTCGGTAGGAAACAAGAAAGGTAAACGGAAACATAAATTTCTCACTGGTGACGATCTAATAGCAGTACCTTATAAAAAGGATAGATTATTGCCTATTGTTTCATTCGTGACGAAATTATTGTTAGAAACAATGAAATAAATGGAGTTACTTTTTTCATTTAGATGTCGTAATTTTCATTCTAAGTTCAACCTTGGCACGATTATATTTTAAAGAAAGGAAGGACGACAAATATTTTGTTGTTTACACTATCCTCTATCCACCATATGTAACTTTCTTGACGAATCCCACGCGTTGAGTCATAAGCCGAGAATTAACTTGACAACTTTTACGTATTTCCGTGTTAGAAATTAAATAATTTATTAAAACTATAGCTAACAGGAATCAGAAGTATAAAATTAGATAAAGGAAATTAATAAAAATATAAAATAGTTTATGTAAATTCTTTTGAATATAAAGAAGCATAGGTAACCTACTTTCTCTGTTATGTAAACAATAGTTTTGTTTTACTTGTGCAAAGGAACAATTTACAAGTATTAGCTGTAAATTGTCGGTTTATCTACATCTTTTTATCGATAACAAAGCGTGTCTAACAACTAAGAAGACAAACTTCTGAAAAAACACCGCCATATTGTTGCAGAAAAGGTCGAAGGTATTCGTATCAGTTCGAGGAACTGCGAGAACGTTTTTCTCACGTCAAATTCGTGAGATACAGCTGTTTTGAGGTTAAAAACTATTTTTGAAGTTTACCCTCCGTACGATTTATTTTCATCGTTAAAATGACCCTCTTTACAATAGGAAAGTAAGTTTAATACCCTCAAAGTTTGAATTTTAATACTTTTAGTGTTACTTTTTCCCTACTCATAATAATTTTATAATACATTCTTAGCCATATTTCATATGGAAATCATGGATATGCAGTTTAATCCACAGAGTGGAGCATAAAATATGGGAAATTTGCATTAAAAAAGCTACTTTAGCTAGATTTCCATACTAGCTGGCACAAATATATGGGAAATTTACATGAAAAACGACCGTTTTAGTTGGCTTTCCACGCTATTTTGTATAACAATATTGAAGAAAACAAGAAAATCAGAACATTTCTTATCTAAGCTATCAAATTTTACCAGTTTTCTCCTAATTAACCTATTAAACTCGTCCGAATCGATAACCTGACACAAACGAAATTTCTCGTTGTAATGCGAAGGCTTTTTAAATTTTATTTTTGACTTTTATTTGTCCGTTTAATGCAAAAAAGAAAAATAATCTTTACAATATGACGATACGAAAACAATGGACGATCCTAGCTTCCTTATTCTTATCTCGACCCCCAGCGTACGAATTTAGGGCAAAATTTTGTCCAGGATGCCTCCAGAGAAAGATCTTTAGGGAGGATAACGACATCGAGTTGGGATTTTGCACGCAGTTTATTTTGCTATTAATAATGATATGTAATTAAATGTTTAACCTAGTAACATCGGTGGCTATACGTAATATTGCTTGGTCTGCCAATAGAAGGACTGAAAAGTAAGTCGGTGTCTCTGTCTGTTCAGAGTTAAAATTTCGGCTAAATTAGAGAGAAATTAAAACAGAAAGTAAAAATAGCAGGGGAGCTTTTGTTTTTTTTCAGGTAATTGAAATAAAGCCATTAGTTGCAGAAAGCGAGAGAGCAAATCTTAGAAAAATAAAGAAAAAGTAAAGTTTGTTGAATTCAAATTTTGTTCTACTTTACTGAAATGACTGAAGTCGCTAGCCTTCCCTTCCGTTCTACATTTCTTCTCATTACGGGCACTTTGATTTACTGGCAATTTCGCTATTCGAAAATTAAAACTCTGATACGTTCAGGAAATTGTTTCTAATATCATTTGAAATGAAAACAATTTAAATGTTACGATGCATTTATCCGCTTTTATGCCAAGTACTGAAGAAAAATAAACACTTTAGAATTGTAAAATTGATTATAGAATGAGCAAATGCTTGGCCAAGCATTAAAACTTTTGCAAAAGCAGACACGCCCGCTAAATCGGGGTGGATGCTCAAAATTTGACATTAATGTTAACAATCCGTTAACCGACTACACTTTCAGTTTTTAATTTAAAAAAATAAAGAAGTTGAATGAATAGGAAGCCCAAAGATTCTCTTTTATCTTCAATCTTTATCGGGTTATTAATAAATCTACAAGCGATGAAAATAATTTCAATGGTTGTCACTCATTTTTATGTATAAGTTTATTCATCTTCTCGTATATTAAATGAAAATGCTATGCCGTTAGAAATTGCATTAGTTTTAATGGTGGCGGCGAGACAACGATGCGTAACGTTTCAATATAATTTTAATTATTTTGCCACTAAACATTTTCGACTTGAAAAATCTATCGTATTTAAGTAATATTTCAAGACGCTTAAGGGATTTCTTTAATCCTCTCCTTCGTAAATAAATTTACAGCCACGTTAAATAACTTAATTATAGATAATGTCGCTCTTAGTAGAAACTCACTTTTTATATAATTTTGTTCTAGTTAAGATTTATACGTAAAAAAGAAGTCATGAGAGAAGCCGATTAACTGAAATCCCACACTCGTTGAATGGGGGTCGTTGACGCTCGAATCTTCTCCCTATTTAGCGCGGAGACGAAATTTAATTAAACTTAGCTTTAGGGCCCTACTAAATATAAACGCTTTATATAGCTTAGCATTGTTTTGTCTCTCTTTAGATGCCCTAGAACCGAGTTGGCGTATTCTCTTCTTCCTCCTTACGTCACGTTGGCAATAGAAGGGTTAAGTGTTTTACAAGTGGACTAAACTGTTCTCTATTAGTAAATCGTGCTGCGCGTAATCGCTTCCATCTCGTGTAAGGTTGGAAAATAATTAAAACACGTTCGAATGGCGGAACTTTTCTCAACGGGAAAACCCGAATGAAATGCTGCCGGAGAACAAAGAAATTGCGGGAACAAAAAGTGGCCTCGAATGAGTTTCGACGGCAAATATAAAAAGCCGAGATGCGAATAAGGACAAGGTTATGTTCGAACGAGGAACATTTTGTCGTCTGATGGCTTTTTTCTTTTTGTCAAACAGTCAGAAATAATTTTCTTGGCTCGTTCGTTAACCTCTACCGAATAAAACTATTTTATTATTACGTGATTCGTGCATTGAAAATCGTTTATGCGAAACGAAAAGCCAGTAAAATTGCAGTTGTCGCCACGTTTCTTCTCAATGTTTTAAACTATTTCGCGCTGTAAAATGAAATCGCTTACATCGAAAACGTGGCCACGAGTCAACGGTTGATATTCGTTTATTTATTTCATTGTAATATTAATTTAAACGATTAGAAAGCAACTTCCACTAACTTATTCAAGCGTTATTTACGATTTTGCTCACTAATTACATAATTTGTATTGAAGTTTTTATCTTGTATGATTGTTTACACTAAAGTGCGACCAATTCTAAATCCTGTTTCCTTTATAAAAAAAAGAAGACAAAGTCTTGAAACCTAAAAACTTGAAAAAATACTCTGTCAAATGCCGTATTATACAATTTTTAATTGGGAATTTATTCCGAAGAACTTACCTTTCCTCATTCTTTTTATTGATAAACCACCGAACGCAGAAGTTGACCCGGAAAAAGTAGCCTCTCGTCCTTGATTTAGAACTCGATTATCAAGTTGCATCGACACGAGCAAAGCTTCCGTTATAGACGGTCCTTTTTTGTCACGTAAAAAGCTATCGGACGAATATTTCAACTCTTATCTTCTGAAACTCTCAAACGAAATTTAATGTCAATTTTCTCCGTGTAGATCTTTGAGTTTCTTCTATCACGACTCGCAAGACTTTTTCAATGCTCAGAAAAACAAGTTTCAAACTACATAACTGCATTGGTCGTAACTGAAAACATAAGGCTGCGTACACACTAGGCGTTTTTAAGCGCGAGTTAGCTCGGCGTTCGACGAGCGTTTTTGGAGCGTACGCACTGACTCAGTTTGGAAATGGACGTGAAAGTAACTGCTTGCGTGCCCCTCCTCCATCGTCGCTATAAAAGACGATGGCAGAGGCAAAGAGAATTTTGGGTGCACCCAATATTACGAGATAGACTGACGCATGGAATGTTTGCGACGTTGTATCCAAAACTAAGGCCCTGTATACACTAGGCGTTTTTCAACGCGCGTTAAACGCGCGTTTAACGCCGAGCTAACGCGCGTTAGCTCGGCGTTCGACGAGCGTTAGTTCGGCGTTTAGCACTGGCTCAGTTTGGAAATGGACGAGAAAGTAATTGATTGTGTGTGCTCCTCCATCGTCGCTATAAGGCAGCACATATATCTCAAAGCGCCCGCAAAGTGCCCGCAAAACGCGCGTTTTAACAAAAATCTATAATCGCGCGTTTGAGTGTGTACGCCTATATAGAACTCTTGGTTCTTTGAAACGCGCGTTTAAAAACGCTTAGTGTGTACACAGCCTAATTCATATATTATAGATTACTCAATTATATTTTCATATATTTTATGGCATATCGATAACTCGAAGAACTGTTCTAAATTTTGTCTACAATCTTCTTCCGAAATTATGGAAATACCCTTAAAAAGCAGTTTTCGAGTTACCATTTATAAACTTAAATTACTTTTTCCTTCTAGGATTCACTATTGCAGCCCCTTATTATGGAACAAAAATAGGCAAATTCAACACCCATTTTCATGACGTAACTGGAGATGTTTACGCTGTCGATGACAAGAGAATATTCGTCAAAGGGTTTACTTACGATGGAGCTGGACCAGGTAAACTAGTATTTTATATAAAGAACTTACGTGATCGAACCAAAGTACAATTTAAAATTTCTATTTCAGATGCTTTCTTCTGGGCTGGAAAGACCTCCAGACCGGATGCCACCGGTTTCATAATCCCAGACGAAAAAGGAGGGTAAGTCTACAAAAAATGTAGTCCGTACGTTGCTAGATTCTTCTAAGTAAACACGTTTTCGTTTGTCTGATAGAACCAAACCTCTGAAAGCTTACCGCAATAAAGATTTGCTCTTGAAATTACCAGAAGGTAAAACACTGAAAGACATCAAATGGCTAGCCGTTTGGTGCAGAAAATTTCACGTAAGTTCATACGAAAATTAATTTTGAATCGTGTATTTGATTGTAGTTACATATTCTTAATTATGACTTTCTTCAGGCCAACTTTGCCGATCTGCCAATTCCTAGAAACTTACAAATACCCAGACCCACTAATATTGGCAAGATGTCATCCTTACAGCACGGCGTTTCTTCCGGCAAGGTCATGGTCCTAGATTCGCAAACATTTTTGGTGCCAGATTTTACCTACGATGGACAAGGACCCGGTAAAACTCCATCTTTGATAGTTCGTGGACCAACGCGAAACGGTTGGCGTGTTACACCAACCCCTTTTATCCCACGAAATCGCCATTTTGTTTCCCATCGACGGGTTATTCCTAATAGAAATTTGGGAATAACTCGATACAATCAGCGCCATTTTTAAATATAATACAGCGCCGTATAGCTTCTACTAACAACGCACATAAATTTTAAAAATTAACGAAATTGATGTTAACAGAGGCCAGTATATTGTATTTCTACGCCATTATTTCGATAATAAAGTGAAATTTGCGTCTTGGTGCCAAAAGTAATTTGTGATTTATCAAATTTATTTATTATGAATTGATTAGAGAACGTGGCATTGCAATAAGCGTGTTTCTGTAAAAAAGTATAAACGAATATGTCGTTTATAACTGTCCTATTGTCTAGTGTAGCACTGATTGCGAGATCATTTATTCCAAAACAGAAAATTTTAGTCGAAATTAGGCTCATAATGGCCAAACAATGGCCACCATAGCCATACGCTTACAACTTTTAAAAAATAAGTATTGCAAGTGACACAGTAGAAAATATTTCATATTATTGTTTCAATACACATAATACACTAATAACATGATAATATACACTTTATTATTGTCACTATATTTTACAATAATTCTTGGTATAATTAGAAGTACAGTGCATCAGTGTACGAATGAATGCAGTAATTGAACTTACTCTTAAACGATGGTGATTTTTCCTCGTCCCTCCTACCATTTTTGCTGTCTTTCAATATATATTTTTATTAACTTAGGTGTATGGATGCAGTTATCTGCTCCATGCAGAAAATGCTTTTAAATTTTAATATCGAATCCTTCTTTAAACGATGATAGTAACACTAATACTGAAATTACGAGCCACAAATGCCTTGAAAAGATTGTTCAAATTCAAACTCTTATTTCAGATGATAATTATCGTCACGAAATCTCCCAACCATTCTAAACCATTGTCAAATAATCGAGTTGTCAATTATTTTTCATACCAATATTCAAACTGCACGTAATTGCTTATGTATTTTACTTTCAGAAGTACAGTACATTCATAGAATATCTTGTCAAAGATACTTAGTATTTTATTCATGTCTTTCGTAAGTATGATGTCTCGAAAACCTATATCTATATATGATTGCAAGTCATAAAATATTAGTAATCGTTGCATTCTTCATCGTGTTTTCCTCGTCTATCTCAAACAGATATTTGCATCAGCCCTTTCATTTTCAGAGTCATAAATGAAGAAAGTTTACCTTCGATTCATAAAAATGGAAAGAAATGCAATTTTGTGTATCTATAAAGACATTTCTAAACCTTTTGTTTTTTAATTTTAAGAAACTTTCAAAAGTTTAGATCTTAATCGGAATACAGATAAGGTGCTTGCGTTAGTTTTATGGGAAGAGGAGGATGAATTTTTTGGAGTCTACGTGAGTATATATTATGCAGTTTAATACAAAATAATAATTATTTATTTTCGATGCTTTGCGAATTCGATGCATCATTACAATTACTAATCTCCCTTATCATTTAGCACGAATTGACATAACTGACGAGTTCGTATTTGAAATTAGGCTCGAAAAGATAAATAGCAAATTTCAGAAAAATCACTCATTCCATATTTAGACGTTCGTAGTTCCTACAATACTAAGTGAAAGTACAGGATGGCTCAAAAGTCAGTTAACCGTTGCGAAGACATAATTTCCGTCTTGTTCGATAACCAGTTGTACCAAAATGAATGCAATTCCGTGCTAAGTTTTTAAAAGAAAGCCAATGTTTTAAACCCAGATTACTATTTATATTTACAATTGTGCCACGAACACACGAAACAAAACACGGTTAACTGACTTTTGGGCCATTCTGTAAACATTTGCTATTTAAGTTCCATATCAGTTGTGATTTACAAATTAACAATAGCTTTTATTGTTACTAATGCGTTTAACTTAATATCTAGTCGGTAGCGGAGTTCTCGACACTCAATGTATAATTCATTCAGAAAATTACAAAATTTTGTTTGCTTAAAATCTAACAAACTACAGCTTAAACCTCGAGAAGGGTGCAGTTCGTAGCGTCACGCTTTAAAATTTGTACTTAATTTTTAAAATTATGCTTTCGGTACTAACTTGAGAGGAAATATTGCGAGATTATCGAGATTGTCTTGATGAACTTTCAGCATTTTATTAAGACAGGCTTGGTGAACTTTCAGTATTGCATTCTGTTGTTCTAAGTTAGAGTTAAATTACTTGTTACGTAGAATTAAGTTACTCATTATTTTAATTTTTCAGCTGCTTATTGGTGGGTATCTAAAGGGGCCAGACAGAACGAACGTGGATTGAGATTGAAAGATGAAAATGGAAGGTGAGTTTGAAACGCTCCCGTGTTCTTTGCTGTGCGTGAAAACTCACAATAGCTGTTTCGTTTAGCCCCGCTCCACTTCCTCAATATACTGGCAAAACTGTAGTGATATCCCTACCTGATATCAAAAGTATTTACGATTATGACTGGTTGGGTGTGTGGTGCGAAGAATTTAATGTCGATTTCGGAAACGTCAAGATACCTCATCATATTGCGGTTCCTCCATCTTTGAATAGTTTAGGAGTTAAGACTGAGGTAATTTCTCTCTGCCTCCACCTGTCGTGTTCAATTTCCCGAATGGCGCATTGTCACCACTAGAAAGCACATTTCTCTAATTTAAATTTGGTTGTAATAATGAATTTCTGCAATTTTAGAACAAGTTGAACTGCGAAGTCCTCCTCGACGATTTAGGTTTCGAGTTAAGATGGGTGGTAGAAGAAAATGACGTCATTATGCAGCTGGTTGCAAAAATAGGTAAAAATTGCTAGAAAATTAAAAAACGATTGTTTAAACGCTTTAAAATTAACAATATTTTTTTGCAGATAAAGAAGAATATATGGCTTTTGGATTTAGCAAGAACGATACTTTCACTCAGATGGTAGATGCTGATGCTATAATTACGTGGATAGATGGGGCCAATCGAGGTCACGCTGTTGATTATTATTTGGAGTCGAAACAACAAGTGAGTGATATTTCTAACTAATTAAAATAATAATTACGGTTCAATAAATATCTCTCTACTTATCAGTGCGTGGGGAATCGCGGTGTATGTCCAGACACTAAGTATTCTTCGGCTCAAGAAAATGTAGTGCTCATGAATGCGGCGATCGTAAATGGTTACACCATGATAACTTTCAGGCGTCCTCAGTTGGGTGGTGAGAACTTCATTTAAAAAGTATTTATTTATCGATTATTCACGTCTCACAAATCGAATTTTTTTAGTTGATGCGAAATATGATCAACATATCTACTCGGATGGTCCTCAAGCAGTTATGTGGGCAATTGGGCAGATAAACAATCGAGGAGAGGCTTCTTATCATAAGCACAAGACGAAAGGTTAGTCGGTTAATTAATTATCTGATTATTCACTTAAAATCCTAAACTTAACGATTTATAACCTTTTAGGAAACTATCTGATCGACTTCTTTCGACCACCTCTTTGGAACTGTCCCGAACCAGGTGACTATTCATCTGAGCACAAAGAAACGACCACCACTACAACTACAGAAGAACCAAAAACTGATGCTTGGGACATACAACCTATAGTATGCCCAGCGGATCAAACATTTAGGGTACAGATTGGTCCAACTGGAGGCAAGCGCGGTTATCAGGCTATTACCGGTACGATTCAAATGATTCAAACAATAAATAACAATAATTTTTTTTAATTAAAACATTCAAACATAAGTGGTCCTCTGCGCTTTAAGAAAGATGTGATCCAAACGTATTTTACGCGCGATTAATTGAAAAATGAGATATTGATAAAATGGAAGTATCTATACTTTTGAAAAGTACAGTATATCTTTAGCCAATCCTCGACCGTTTTCATATAAAAACTGCAGAGACCGCTTGTGTTAAATATTATACTTCATTTAAACTATTTACTTTTTAGGAAACGTCGGATGGGGCATTGCCTGGTATGTTAATGGAATATTGGTACCGGAACTAACAGTACAACGCGGTAAAACGTACACTTTCCTGGTAGAAGGTGGCTACGACGCACAGAATCCTTCTCGTCATCACCCTCTCTACATTACAGATGATCCGGAAGGTGGTTACGAATATAAATCGGAGGCGAATAAACGAGTAAGAAATTCATATTAAAATTCCACGCGGTGTGTATGGTTTATATTTTGAATAAATTACATTTTGAAATAAATTTTGAATAAATTACATGAATTTCGACCTGAAGATGGCCTATTAACTAGGCTGAAAACGTTTGTTTTTTCAAATTATATTTATTTCTCGGCAAAAAAAAGGTGTTTTGTTTCTTAAATTACATGAATTGGATTTCCTTGCAGAAAGTAACCATCTTTGCTGGTGTAGGTATTAATAGAAGCGGAAAAGTTGTACCAACTGCAAGTAGGTCTCATTAATAAACTAATAAAATTTATTTATTAGGTTTTATAATGTAATAATATAATATTATATTATATCAAATAAATAATATGGGCATCTCATAACTTTTAGCTGGAAGACTTTGCGAGTGGAAGATCCCCACTAATCGCACAGTTAAACCTGATGACTACGAGACTTTCGAAAATTTCCAACGACAGTTGACATTGAAATGTGAAAATGGAAAGGCAGGAGTCATGTCGTGGAAACCAGATAGAAATACACCAGATCTTGTGTACTATCAGGTAAATTTACTCCACTTCTAAAATCAGATTTTCATTCAAAGCTTATTAATTATTTTTAAATCAATTTTTAGTGCTTCACTCACCGATTTTTGGGCTGGAAGATTCACGTTGTAGACTCTTGTAAAGAAGACAGAATTTTAGAGCCATCGGCTAGTGGAAGAACAACCAATAACATTTATTACAAGACAGATAATCATTTGTTAAAAACCACAACGGCAGCACCCGTTGATTATGAAATTATATATTATGACTATGTAGACGAGCTAGATAATAAAACTTCCACCGAAATATATCCAGATATCATCAAAGTAAAGAATCAGCATTATCCTCCTACATCTTCAGTCACCAAATGGCCCGCTGCAGTATTCACACCAGAAAGAGTGACAACCAGGCCAACTCATCGACCTACTTATCGATTTACCACCACCACCACCACCACTTCAACACAAAGACCTCGAAAACAGACTGTTAGAAACAATTACCAAAGCTATCCTTACAGGGGGACAACTAGAAGACCCTTTTCCAAACCCAGTAATGTATATCAAGAAGGGTTTGTTCCCTTGATTATTCGAACCAACAGAACTCTAGAAGATTTGTTTCAAGGAAAACCACGAAGAGAACCAATATCTCGCCACGACACTGTCAGTTCATCGAACCAGCCTAAATTTGGAGAAAGGATAAGGAAACCAGGATCTGTTCCTTTGTTGGTACATAATGCAAATAATTTAAAACATAAGAATAATTTCCTTTCTTCTGTTCTACCTACCGATATTCGTTTCTCTACCCTGATACCGGATGATAAACATCCGAAACCTTCCAAAGGTCCTCTCTTGCCAATGTTGGTACCCTTACCACACGAAAATTTGAAAAATACAAGAATCAATCATAGGCATAAAGAGAAACCTAAGCCTTTAATTCCTATAGTATTGAGAAGTGGACAAGGTCCTAATGCCACTTACCCTATTTTAGATCACGTACTTTCTCTGATTGCAGAAGACCAGTATCATCCGGGGTTCGCGTCATCCAGATTTTCTCGAGTGTAACCAACGACAGCTTGTTAAAAATTAAGCCGTCTTTTATGCAGAAGGAAATTTATATATTAATGTAACACGGCTTATTCTGGACTGAGACATATTTATGATTCAAATGGAGCCACGTACAGCAAGAAAATTTTCTTGTTGCACATTATTAGCTTTTGTAGTATCGTTGTCATTAACTTCTCTAATTTTAACCTAAGTAAAGCCAAATCCTCCGCCATCTTCAATTGCAATGTACAGATGATAAAATCTGGATATACACCAGAAACTTTAAACTAATCCTTTTGATACGGTGGCTTCTATGTACAGTACAGTACAGTGCGGTACTCAGACGCAATTAGAAACGGCAGCGAAACAATAAACCAAAGTTACATCTGAAGCATTCATATATTTTTTTAAATTAACATTTTCTCTATCGTTAGCTAAACTCATTTTGTGTATTTGTTACACGTGTTAATGCCCTTATACATAATAGTATTTTAAAGAATAAGATACAGTAAATGTGTCTTGTGAATATTTGTAATTTTGTAACAATAAAACAAATTTTTATTTTCTTTTTTTCTAATTTTACGTAGAATTATCAGCAAATATTTTACACCAAAATTGTCGATGTTACTGCTGTTACTAAGGCCCACAACTGATCGTAGTTATATATGATGGTTTCTGTTAGTTGTACTAATATTTTGTATAATTAGATTGAGCCAATAGACTAACAGAAAAAGTAAACTTGGTTTTGCTGATTTTCAGTAAGCAAACAGATGCTTGGTTCGATGTGAGATCGGCCAGCATGGGAAAAAACAATATCTCAATATTATCCAATATCCCAATACTACGAAGTTCTAGACAGGATAACCAGCAACGAATTGCTTAACTTTGTCCGGAAACATGCCTGGAAAGTTAAAACTGCGTGTGGTGTCATCTGTTACGATATTTTATTTAAAAATCATTTTATATAATTAATTTAATTGTTATAAAATGGCAAAAAGCTTAATTTTGAGAATAGGGTCGGGTTTTATAAGAAATTGTAAATGATGATAACGAGTAAAATCTTCATTAAGTCCGACTCCCCTCAAGACATAACACACTCCTTCGACCTCAAACCACCAAAATTTAATAGCAACAAATTCCCCAATACGCAAACTTCCCTGCAAAATTTCAGAAATTTCCGACAAAAGACACTGAAGTTATTAAGCTTCAAAATGGATAAACAAAATCGTACCCCACAGTAACATCCATACATACAGAAAAAACCTGGAATTTTTTGCATTTCTCGACGTTTCGAGGTCCCCTAAGTCCAAAAATGTAATAATCTTACTTGTTAGTGGGGCGACTTTTTACCGATCGGCATACTTTCCCCCAGTTACACGAGTATATAACAGCCGGAAAAATAATACATACTATTTAACATTGGTATCCCGAGTAGAAGCCGGTGTAGGAGACCATTTGATTTGATACTTGGAGATTTGATTAGATAACATATAATCAAATCTCGATATACCGTTCTCCTAAATAGCACTTCTTTTTATAGCATCATTAAATTCACTTAAAGAGATCGTCTCTATCGATATTAAATAGGGAACTTTTCTGTATCTGTAAATTACGAACTCGGAGATTTTGCATCGGAAATGGCATTGTTATCACCGAATTACGTGAATTTCAAACTCGCAAACTTAATATCGAGGTCTGCACACAAGTTCATAAATAATTCTTATTATTTTAAGTACTTCGGTTAAGTGCCACAATCAAATTAGTCCCAAATTTAGGGACGAATAAATGACAACACTAAATCCAAGTTTAAATGTCAACGTTTTCAATTTTCGTTAGTAATTTCTTTATAAAATTAAAATTGATTAGAAATAACAAGAAAAATAAGTACTGTACAATCATTAAAATTATTATAGAAATAGACGATAGCTTTAAATTAATATAAAATCTAGAAATTAACAACACGAAAGAGTTTAAATCCTATAGAAAAGTTCACACGTTAGAGCGTTAGAGGGGTGTGTGCACTCCAGTTAAGAAACACTTCTTAATAGCTAGCGATGACTTTTAATACTAATAAATTTCAAAAATTCCAACATCCGACAAGAGGAGCAACAACAAAAAATGAATGTTCCAACTTCGGTTTGTATATTTAACACCCGCCGATACCAAATTTAGTTACTATGTCATTTTATATTGCTTGAACTAGCTCAGCTTTCATATTTTTCTGGCCACTGCAGTTGGAATACGAGTTGATATTGCCGCTGCCAGTTTGAGTTAGGATGTCTGACATTGCTGATGTCATCTTCGATTAGGAAGTTTCGTTCTCTGGCTCTACGAGGAACGTATTCGAAGAAAACGTACGAAGCGAACGGGGGGATGATAACAGACTAAAACCCGAGCAGAGAACGGTCTGAGAAAGGCACTGCGACCTCGAGATGCGAATTTTTATAGAATTTATCTCTGGATCAAACGATCCAATTGGTCCCGAATCTTCCTCGGGTCACCCCGGTTGGTTTCTTTCTGTATTTGAGGAGAACTGCAACCCAATCGCGTTACGGTGAAGGTCGAGCCGCCACGCTTAACCCGATACCGCATCTCGATCTCCCGGGGATGTTTAAATGAACTTGGCAACTTTTGTTCGTATTTTAATAAGTTTCTTCTTGTCTCTTAAGAACTTCTATTAGGTTTTTCACGACGTTTTTATTAAACGAAACATTTTGTTCGAGTTAGAATTATCTATTATTTTCGAAAGGATAATTTAGCGTAGTTTAGTGGGTATTCGGATCTTGTCCGGAACCTCCCAAACCTAAAATTTCTCAACTAAGCTTTAGACAAGTTTAACTCGCAGATAAATACTGTATTTAAAAACCGAAATAACCTCGAAGACATGACAATTAAGAAACTGATGTTATCTCAGAGGTGTGTACAGTACAATAAATTTCATCCTTTTAATATTTTCCCTAACTAAGCCAGCCGTGGACAGTTCTACACATAATTAACAATAATCAGTAACAGAATGCTTTAGGCATTAAATTACAAAGACAATGGACATAATACTCAGAATTGAGGTCTCTGAAGGATTGACTGAAACATTACATCAAATAAACTATAGTGTACACCAGGGGTGGCCAACCTTTTGCATACCATGCGCCAATTTTTTGATAGACGAGTTCAGATGCGTAGTGGCGTACCGTGGGTGTTAGCCGCCCGGGGCGGAGAAAAATTTCGGCCACCTTTTAATTAGGTATTTCAATTTAAAAGATCAAAATTCAGTTGTGTGAAAAAAAAATTAATAAAAAATGCGGTGGTGGTGTAGTTACCCGTACAAAATAGTCCCGTATGACATTAGTGGCATACACGATTGCGAATGTATCGTGAATCGTAGAAGCAAAAAAAAAAAAAAAAGGTCAACAGGTGTAGCAGTCCAACCGACTCGTGGACTGTCCGGACGGTAGCACTGTCATTCAGACGCCTATGCGCTGATCGAAAATAAACATACATGCATACACTGTCATTTAGACGCCTATGCACTGATCGAAAATAAACATACATGCATACACTGTAATTTACTATGTGGAGAACACTCATTTTATCTGTAAAGTTGATTGCAACGAATTGTGCAACAAATGAACTTGCCAAGACAGACTATAAATAATTAATTTTCTATGTAATATTCTTAATTGCAAAGAAGCCAAATCTGGCAATGTTGCTCAGAACTGACTAAAGCGCCACTTGTAATCGTCCAATGCGCCAAGTTTGGCGCATGCGCCACGGTTTGGCCACCCCTGGTGTACACCTTTACAATCAAATTCCGAGGAAATACTCCATTTTAAATCATGAATTTACTTTTACTAATGTAATCGCATCAACCTTCATCTATTTTTAAACCTAGATTATCATTAATTCTTTTCTCTTTTTTATCCTTTTAAAATTTCAATACGTTCGTAATATAAGTATGTTTATTTGCACCTTTTATACGTACTAAGCAGAAATGATTGCTTTTAAAGGGCGTATCAAAATATGCAGATAAGACGCTGCCAATTTTCAAATAAATCCGAGCATTAGAATACAAAATATAAATTTTAATCCATATCAATGAATATAAAATATTCAAACAATATTTTTGCCATAAACTTAACAGTAAATTAAGGCTGTAGAGTTTGCAGCCTTATTCTTTTGCATTTCAGGAACTGATGAAAGGTGACGACTCAATTTATACAGGCCCGAGTAGGGTAAACTTGCCTAATTCGTACTCCGCTTAGGCTATATCTCGACTCCGATAACAGTTATTAGTGTCTCTAGTAGGAAAAAAAGTAAATAACAAGCGGTCATATTACCATCTGACAGGCAATACGCTGTTACTCTGCTCCCGACAAAAATATTGAAAAGGAAAGTTTTTTCAACTTTTTCTGTAATATTTTTGCACATTTCGTAAGAAATTTCTTCAAATTGGATCGTGTGTAAGTTTTTTAACTATCTGTGATGTATTAGTGCGTATTTTTGTAATTTCGTCTGAAGTGATGAAACACGCGTATCTGTTGTCAACTTTTTTGGGGACTAATGTAAAGTTTGTTCGACTCTTGCGCCTATTTCGTACTCGAGGCATGTTCTTAAAACGTACTGGTACGATTTAGGAAAACTATTTTAGATGGATGTCACAATAAGCTATTACCGATTCGTAAACTTATTTTTTTTCTAAGTTTCTGATTTGAAAAATAACCGAAAAAGTTCGAAACAAATTAAAACTTAATTATATTTACTTTTAGAACAACGTGTCAAAAAGAAAATATAATTCTTGGAGTATAGAAAATATGAAAGAAGCGATTAAAAAATATAATGACGGAACCTTATAATTTAACGTAGTTTGTAGTGTATATAATGTACCGAAATTGACATTTAGACGACAGTTACAAGGACTGAATACGCATCAAAGAATAGACTAGATAGGTCATTTTTTCAAATCACTAAAACTGATTTTAGTGCCGCTTGCGCTTCGTGGATGCAAACCATCCTGGTTCCTT